GAGGGGGGTGGTGGAGGGTTGCTTTTCAGACTGAAGGCTTGTGACCAGTGGTGTGCCACAAAGATCGCTGCTGGGTCCACTGCTTTTTGTCATTTATATAAATGATTTGGATGTGAACAGAAGAGGTATGGTTAGTAAGTTTGCAGATGACACCAAAATTGGAGGTGTAGTGGACAGCTAAGGTTAACTCAGAAGACAATGGGATCTTGATCAGATGGACCAACGGGCCGAGGAGTGGCAGATGGAGTTTAATGTATATTTTGGTGAGGTCATTCAGGGCAGGACTTTTACACTTAATGGCAAGGACATGGGGAGTGTTGATGAACAAAGAGACCTTGGAGTGCCGGTTCATATTTTCTTGAAAGTGGAGTCATAGGTAGATAGGATAATGAAGGAGGCGTTTGGTACACTTGCCTTTATTGGTCAGTGTATTGAGTACCAGAGTTGGGAGGTCATGTTGCGGCTGTACAGGACGTTGGTGAAGTCGGTTTTGGAATACTGTGTGCAATTCTGGTTTCCCTGCTATAGGAACGATGTTGTGAAACTTGAAAGGGTTCAGAAAAGATTTACAAGGATGTTGCCAGTGTTGGAGGGTTTGAGCTATAAGGAGAGGATGAATAGACTGGGGCTATTTTGCCTGGAGCATCGGAGGCTGAGGTGGATAAAATCATGAGGGTCATGGATAGGGAGAATAGACAAGGTCTTTTCCCCCGAGGTAGGGAAGTCCAAAACTAGAGGGCATAGGTTTAAGGTGAGAGGGGAAAGATTTAAACGGGATGTAAGGGGCAACATTTTCATGCAGAGGGTTGTCCGTGCATGGAATGAACTACCAGAGGAAGTGGTGGAGGCTGGTACAATTACAACATTTAAAAGGCATCTGGATGGGAAATGAATAGGAAAAGTTTAGCAGGATGTGAGCCAAATGCTGGCAAATGGGACTAGATTTGTTTATAATATCTGATCAGCATAGATGGGTTGGACCAAAGGGTTTGTTTCCATGTTATACAGCTTGATGACTCAGTGTCAGTGTTTCTCGGTTTGAAAGCAGACCATTCAGAGACACACGATCCAGCTGGTAGTTCGGGCACTGACCTGAGGGACTGGGGCTGGGTCGCACTGTTGGCATCGCAGCATCCAAGGCCTTGAGCGACTTTCGATGGTAATCAGCTTGTGCTTCCATTAACTTCAAAAACAGAGAACGAGATTACATTCCAAGAATACTGTATGTCTGATTGCACCAAGCAGTTTCCTCAGATCATGGTCATAGTCTCTCTCACTCTCTGTATATATGCATATATAAATATTTTATATATATATATATATAATAATATATATACACACATGATGTTAAACATAACTCAAATATTCCAATGTGCTTCGGGGAAATGTTTTCAGACAGAAATAGACCTGAGTCACATGAAGAGATATCAGGACACACAACCAAAAGCTTGACCAAACAGATCTGTTTTAAGGAGAATCTTAAAGGAGGAGAGGTAGAGAGGTTTAGGGAAGGAATATCAGAGCTTAGTAACCCCCAGGCACCTTATGGCACAGCCATTAATGGGGGGACAGAAACTGTTGAGCCTCTTAATTTCACCAAGAGACTAGCAAACAGTTTCTACACCATCTTCTGAACTTACTCTTCTCTTCAATGTTTCATATCCCTCGACAGGACCATTTCTGAAACATTATCTCTTCAAGCTGAAAGGTAGAAGTCTCTCCTTATAACTAATGCCATTGATACAGGAGATCAGCCTCATGGATTGTCTCTGCGACAAAACCAGTGCTTGCAGGCCTTCCCGTGCCTTATTGACTAGAACAGATCATTGTACTCAAAGTGTACTGTAACCGGTGTGGAACTGTATCAATTAATTAATAGGCATTTGTTATTGGAAGATAAATAAAGAGGCATTTATTGACACTGAAGTTTTTAGTATGGTTAGTTATAGAGTCATAGAGGTCTGCAGCATGAAAACAGGCCCTTCAGCCCAACTTGTCCCTGCTGCCGAGTTTTCACAATTTAAAGTATTCCTATTTTCCTGTGTTTGGTCCATATCCCTCCATGCATATTCCATCCATGTCCAAATGTTACTTAAATGATGAGACCATACTCGCTCCCACCACTACCTCTGGCAGCCCATTCCAGACACTCCCCACCCTCTGTGTGAAAGAATTTCCCATCTGGACCCTTTTGTACCTCTCCCCTCTCACCTTAAACCTATGCCCTCTAGTTTTAGACTCCCCCACCCTGGGAAAAAGCTGTCAGCTATCTACATTATCTATGCCTCTCATGATTTTATATACCGCCCCAAGGTCACCCCCTCAGTCTCCTATGCTCCAGGGAAAAGAGTCCTAACCTATCTAACCTCTCAAGCCTTCCAGTCCAGATAGCATCCCAGTAAATCCTTTCTGCATTCTTTCTAGTTTAATAATATCCTTTCTATAGTAGGGTAACTAGAACTGCACGCAGTACTCCAAATGTGGCTGTAATGATTTGTCGATATTTGCTTGTAATGGTTCACTCTGTGAATAAATCTAAACTGAGTAAAGATTGACTTCTGGCCTCCACCTTCACCAAATAGTCATTAGAAGTTTAATAATCAGGGTCAGTACACATCCTGTCACTCTATGGTTTACCACAGGTTTATCTGAGCAGAGAACTTGCAAAAAACGACTGACTCAAATAGTGAATGTCAGCTACTGTGTGACGCTGGTCAGATACAGAAAGCACAATAGATTCCAGTGTAACAAATTCAGTGTAAAAACACCAAGTTTCTAGCAGTGGGTTAGTGCTAAACAAAAACCAAAAGAACTGGGGATGCTGTACATCAGGAACAAAAACAGAAGTTGCTGGAAAAGCTCAGCAGGTCTGGCAGCATCTGTGAAGAAACGAATAAGAGTTAACGTTTCAGGTCCAGTGACCGGTTTCTGAGGAAGGGTCACCAGATCCGAAACGTTAACTCTGTTTTCTCCTCCACAGATGCT